TCTCTCTCTCTCTCTCACTCGCTCTCTCTCTCTCTCTCTCACACCCTCTCACTCTCTCTCTCTCTCTCTCTCTCTCGGTTGTCTGGTGGAGATATAAATGCTCGCGCCGGACTCGCTCATGCTCAGACAGACCGAAACGTGAGGACAAAACAAACGAACTCTGAGTTAATAAAATAGAATAGAGAGGGAGAGAGTGTGTTTTTGCGATGGAATCGACTGCAATGAACTTTCAGTAAGTATCCAGTGAGTCTCACTCTCTCTCTCTCTCTCTCTCGTGTGTGTGTGTGTGTGTGTATGTGTGTGTGTCAGATTTGAACTCTTGCACTTCAGTTTCTCTCTTTCCTTTCCGTTCCTATAAATAACACACTGGTTTGTGTGTGTGTCGGATTCTCCTGCACAAGCTGGAAACTCTGAAGCGAAAAATACCTGGGTAAAAATAGCCTCGGTTTCTCTGCTCTGATGGTCCGGAGCGCCGCTGATCTGCTGCCATTACCGGAGGAGCGTCACAGCGCGAGCTGATCTCCAGCCCATTACCGGTGAGATCAAAGTTCACAGTCTCATTTCTGAAATGGCCTTTATATTCATTAATGCTATGACTGTCGTTAAAGCAACATTTACCATTATGACTGACATTGATATTAGCTGTTGTTATGAATATGAGCTGAATGAATATGAATCTGATAAGTCCCGCTGATACAAACTCACTGCAAACTCTCTCTCTCTCTCTCTCTGTGTGTGTGAGTGAGTGTGTGTGTCCTCAGGTGTGTGTGTGTGTGTGTGTGTGTGTGTGTCAGATGAGCTCATCATGGGTGAAGCGTTCACACACACGCAGCGCTGCGGGAAACATCTGCGACTGCTGCTCTTCATACTGCTGCCATGTGTGTGTGTCCTCATCTGTGTGTGTGTGCTGCTGCTTTAGTGGGAGGTACAACTGCGTATCGTCAGCATATAAATGAAACGAAACATTGTGCTTCCTGATAATATCCCCCAGAGGGCGCATATATAAGTTAAAAAGAAGCGGTCCCAGAATAGAGCCCTGAGGTATTCCACTAATAATTGGGGCAGATGATGAGGAAAACTTGCCTAGCTCCACAGAAAAAGACCTGTCTTTGAGATATGAGCTGAACCATCGTAAGGCTGTGCCCCTGATACCGATAAAGGCTTATAAATGTTTCAGTGCAAGTCTATGAGATGAGCTCATTAATACAGTCAAACAAACATGAGTTATGCCAAGTTCACACTACAGGATTTTAAGCCCGATTTGTAAGTTAACGAGCTCGCCGACAGGTTGAGCTGTGATCGGGGGAAAATCAGCGGGTGATCAGTGCTCGGCTTATGTGTGAACAACTCCACTAAATGAATCATGGATTGCCTGTGGCTTCGATAGCAGTTTAATCAATCAAACGTACGTGTTATCTGTAACAGATCGTGACACCACAATCAAGAATGTTTATCTGAGTTGATCATAATGCAAACATTCCTCATGATTAATGACTGTCTGCAATGTCCTCAAGCACTGCGTGACGAATGATGCATCAAGTAAGTAAATTTTATTTATATAGCACATTTCAACATAGCAAAGCTATCCAAAGTGCTTAACAATGTAAAATAAAATTAAAAGAGAAAAGGAAACACAGAAAAGAATAAAAAAAGACAGACAATAACACAACAATTAAATGAAATTAAAATGCTAAGGAGAAATAATAAGTTTTCAACCTCGATTTAAAAATGGTAATGGAAGGTGCAAGGCGGCAGTCTAAAGGCAATTGGTTCCACAGACGGGGGGCAGTGACTGAAAAGGCTCTGTCACCCTTAGTTTTCAAACGGGAACGAGGGACAGATAAAAGAGCCCTGTCAGTGGATCTTAAAAGTCTGGTCGATGACAAAGGGATAATAAGGTCTTTAAGATAAGATGGAGCTTGATTGTTTAGAGCTTTAAAAACAAACAGCAGAATCTTAAACTGAACTCTATAATGGACCGGAAGCCAGTGAAGCGAAGCTAAAATTGGAGTGACATGGTCATATTTCTTTGCCCCAGTCAGCAGCCTTGCAGCTGCATTTTGTACCAACTGGAGGCGTGAAAGCGATGACTGAGGAAGACCTGAGTACAGTGAATTACAGTAATCTAAACGTGAGGTAATAAAAGCATGAATAACCTTCTCCAAATCTTGAAAAGACAAAAGTTTGGAGATTTTGGAGATGACCCGTAATTGATAAAAACTGTTCCTAACGACAGAATTAATTTGTTTGGATTCTGAGTCTTCTGAGTCTATGATAACGCCCAGGTTTCTAACCTGTGAGGAAATGGAGGGGAAATGATTGCCCAGCTCCTCAATAATATCCATTCTCATTTTTTGGGGACCAAAAACAATAATTTCTGTTTTGTTCTCATTGAGTTGGAGAAAGTTATTTGTTAACCATTTTTTAATATCTGAGATACATTCCAGCAATGGTTGAATGGAATCACCAGCTTTTAGTGGGAGGTACAACTGCGTATCGTCAGCATATAAATTAAATGAAACATTGTGCTTCCTGATAATATCCCCCAGAGGGCGCATATATAAGTTAAAAAGAAGCGGTCCCAAAATAGAGCCCTGAGGTATTCCACTAATAATTGGGGCAGATGATGAGGAAAACTTGCCTAGCTCCACAGAAAAAGACCTGTCTTTGAGATATGAGCTGAACCATTGTAAGGCTGTGCCCCTGATACCGATAAAGGCTTATAAATGTTTCAGTGCAAGTCTATGAGATGAGCTCATTAATACAGTCAAACAAACATGAGTTATGCCAAGTTCACACTACAGGATTTTAAGCCCGATTTGTAAGTTAACGAGCTCGCCGACAGGTTGAGCTGTGATCGGGGGAAAATCAGCGGGTGATCAGTGCTCGGCTTATGTGTGAACAACTCAACGATGCATCAAAGAGGCTCGCTGACGCCTCGCAGACAGCAAACAAATATCTAGCATGCTAAATATCTGGACCGGTCGGCCGACTCGACATCACGTGGTGTCAAGTGTCGTGATGAGCTACAGCCAATGAGAGAGCAAGGCATGGGTTGAGGTCAGCGGAAGAAAAACAGCAGCAGCAACACGGCTTTAAGAAAAGTTTGGACACAAGAAATGGAGCAAATTTTTTCATCACGCAAACATGTTGCAGCACTAATTTCTTCCCGATGTTCATTTTAAAATAAACAACTCCTGTTTCACTTGTTGTTTTGTGTCATTCCCGTTCAACTTCTCGTGTGTGTTTTCATGACAAAGCGTGGTTTGGGGACGGGATGGAGTCGTTGGGTGACAGATGTTGTCAGCTCATGTAGTGTGTGACTCCCTGTTGCAGATCATTTACGTAGTGTTGCGTAGTGTAAACACCACAACGACTTCAAGACAGACAATCAAGTCATGTAGTCTGAACAGCACACCGATCTGCCGACGTTTAAAGTCCTGTAGTGTGAACTTAGCTTAAGTGTGTGTGTGTGTGTGTGAGATGTTTGTCCTGTATGCATGTGTGTGTGTGTGTATATGTGTGTGATTTATCTGTTTGTCCTGTATGTGTGTGTGTGTGAGATTGAATGAGTGTGTGTGTATTGGTTCAGATGCATCTCCTCCTCTCTGTCTGTTTGCTCCTCATAAAAGCTCAAAGAAAGCATTTGATGCTTCCAAGGTCAAAGGGTCAGCGTCTGGACAGACGTGCATGCTGATAACATCTCCTCCCAGTATTATCCTGCCGTCGTCCTCTCTCTCTCTCTCTCTCTCTCTCTCTCTCTGTCTCTCTGCTACTCTTTGTTTATTGGCTAGAAGGTCTCTTTGGTGAGACGTGATCAGAGCTGTGAAAGCGAGACACCCGTTCTGTCCGGTCGTCCTGCTGTGTCACCGAGCCTGTTTTTGCACCGTCACAGTCATCTCCTTCTCTCTGTCCTGAACACAGCACGAGCCTTTCATATAGAGCAGAGAGAAGGGCAGAGATGCAGGTGTGTCGGAGCAGATGCAGGTGTTTGGTATGATGAGGCGGGAATCGGCGGCACAGGTGATGCTCACCTGCAGCTTCCTGTGCTAGGGTAAGGGTTAGGTCTCCTGGTAAAGGGTCGCATCCAAAGCCGTATCTAGAGCCCTCACATTCTTACTGTCCTCTATTAAAGTTTGGATGCGTGTCTCTAATTCTGAAATCTTCTCTGTCAGCCTAACTATTTCCCTGCATTTATCACATGTGAATCCCTCGTCGCCGACAGAGAGAGATAAACTATACATGTGGCAAGCGGTGCAAACAACAATAGCAGGAGAAAAAGCCATTACTCACCGTGATTGATGAATGATTCTGACTTACCACAGTTGTATGATGAACTCATGAAAAAACAGAACAAGAGAGAAAAGAGACAGAGAGAAAAAGAAGCGGTAGGAAACACGAATGGAGATGCGATTGACAAGCTAATAGGCTAATGGAATGCTAACGCACTGCAACACGCAGCGCTCACGGTTTAGATTAAAAGATTAAAGGTGGATGATGTCAAACTAGTTTGGTGATCAAATCAGAAATATGGTGAGAATTTAATTATATTTTAGTGATTTAAACAACAGCGAGTGATAGTAAGAGAGATTTCAACAGATAAACAAAGCTACACGGAGCTACAAACTCACTCAGCAGCACGGCAGACAGGAACAGTAAGCGAACCTAATTTATCCCATATTCTTTGTCTCTTTTTTGCAAAACATTTAATTGCTGCTGAATACCAAGAACAAAAATCAGCCGGCTGCATAAAAACTGGAGTCGATGAAGAGCTGTTTGTGAGCAAAATAGAGCTGATTCTGGATAAATTGGGACTTTTTTTAACGGAGGTTGTAGTTCTCTCACAATTCTGAAGAAAGAATATTAGACAACTAAACAAAATCTGATGGAATGTACGAATGGAATGATTCAATGACTCAAGATGTACTTCATGAACAAAAATCAGCTGGCTGCATAAAAACTGGACTCGATTACGAGCTGTTTGTGTGCAAAATAGAGCTGCACGATTGTAGTTCTCTCACAATTCTGAAGAAAAAGATATTAGACAACTAAACAAAATCTGATGGAATGTATGAATGGAATGATTCAATGACTCACACAAGATGTACTTGTTTCATTACTGGATGAATCAGTGGATTTGAATGAATCTCTTGAATGAATGATTCAAAGACAAATAAATTTTAACAGCTCATTTTCGCCAACTAAAAAAAAGATGCGCACACAGGAATTGATAGGTGAAATTAAATTTTTTTATTTTACAACACGCATTCCATTCCTTCAGTATCTGATTCTGGATTTGGAATTGATTTTCGATTCCCAACCCTAGTAAGATCAGAAAAAGCCCATACATACACCCGTCCACAGACCCTCCCCTCAGAGAAATCAGGACAGAAGCAGTCAAAAGTGCACTAAAGAGACGGATGTGATGTGATCTAGACTCCTCTCCCCTCATAAGACTCCGTTCTGTCTCCACCCTGTTCCTCTCTTGTCTGACTGCGTTTCAGTATTCTGTCCTGTTAACAGGCAAAGGCGTCGTATAACAATCATTTACTCACCTCACGTCGCTCAAACCTGTGTGAATGACTTTCTTCTCTGGAACACAAAAGAAGATATTTTGTTTAGCCTGTATATGCTCCCACTAAGTCAAATAATGAGAAAGAACCAAATCGCCTA